GATGGAAAGGCCTACTTTCCATCACCCTAATCCTTAACTCCCTCCACAGATTCTCTATTAAATTCAAGTTGAGCCTCTGGCTGGGCCATCAATATTTTCTCCCAAGAAGTAACATGTTGGAAACCTGATCTGAATCTACCAGTAAGAATGGAATTTGTTTTTGCTCATATATTTATGTTAGTGTTCATACACATGTATTATTTTTGACTGCAGTTTTAACTTTTTAGAAGTAGCAAACTCAATTTTGAAAATATTATGTTGTCTGTGTTCAAAATAAAATCTTGTATCAGTACAGTGTAACATTACAGTAAGGCTCTTCTTAACTTGTTTAACAGCGCACACACCTGAGCAGGTGGAGGATGTTAAGCGCAGCTTTCAGCAGGTGCCGCCCCGCGTGAGCCTGCTAGGACGAGATGAAAGTCACCGCCGCACTCCCGACTCCCTGCCTCCCATCACCGCGCGCGAACAAGCAGTCTCCCCTCCTCCCCTCCCCGCTTCCACGCGCTCACCGTGAGCTAGATTTGTAGTGACAGCAGCGGGTGCATTCACTAGTCATTCCCCATAAAAGGTTCCGCCTGATCAAAGCCCCGCTGAGGCAGCGAGGCGGCTCGCTAACGTCGCTGTGTGTCTGCGTGTCTCCGGTGTCTCGCAGGGTTGAGGCGGTTTTTGAAGCTTTATAAACACAAAACCCTTCTCTGTCGATCTCCCTGCTATTTACATTTGAGCTCCGTTTTGCCTTGGCAGTAAAACATTGTTTTTTTTTTATTATTCCCCCTGCCTGTAGCCTGTGTGACAGGCTTAGCTGCATTAATCAGCTCCTCCCGCTTAGACTCAGGGATTTCTTAAACTGGAAGAATTTAATCTTTAAATACATTTTAAACGGAAACGTCTGACTGAAGTTATGTTAACAAGCCGATAGGTGCGTGTGCCGGGTGGAGGTTCCCCGGTGAGCGCTGAGGGGATGGTGCACACCAAAGCAGGGAAGAGGCAATGTGTTGATATAAATTTACCCATCCGCTGTCAATTAGACAAAGCTTTTAGCGTCTGTGAAAGTTGGTCTTTTCCACGGGATGAACACGCAAATATCAGAAAGACGCCAGGTGCAAGCTGAACTTTTAAGTCGTCTGCCAGTCACTCTCACGGCTCTGCACATCCATGTTTCTTTAAAAGCAGCAGAGCATCCCTCTTTACCTCCTCATTAACATCAGGAGACTCCTCAGAAGCTGCAGCATTATTCACAATCAATTAAGAGCACAGCAACCCAAAGCTGTTTACTGCTGACACATCTTGGTGTGAAGTAAAAAAAATTAAGTATTCACGTGAATATATATATATTTATATCAAAAAAGGGGGAATTTGGAAATGCAAATTTTGAAGCCTGTTTAGACTTTTAACGGGTTTCCTTAAGAGGATCCACACCCCTTCTGCCTAAATTCTGTTTTCATCCTCAACACAAAGCTTTCCATACATTGATCTTTTCCCCACAATAGTTCCTGTTTCTGCTGAATAAAACATAGACCATCAACGTTTGAAGCTGTCCATGCATCAATGCCTTCCATCTGTCTTTGAACAACAAAAAAAAAAGGTGAAAACGGGACTTTATAAAGATATACTCGTTTATAAAAAAGAAATACTTAAAAATAAATATAAAAAAAGTATTTTGCCAGCACACATCTAATTTTAAGAGTGCATTATGCTCAATTTGTTCCTTTAACTTTTTTCTGTTTGTGTAGGTTGCCATGATTTTCTAATGCAATATAGACTCTAGCTTATCTATAATTAAATAATCTATAATTTAGCACAGGCTTTCCTTCAATGAAGCTTCGTTGATCAGTCAGAGAATGAGATTTTGCAGCATGCTTTCTTTATTTTTAAAATAAACTCATCTACTTCCCAATGGCATCAAAAATAAATAGTGAGCAACCCTTAGCAAAAAGTAGTTTATACAAGTATACTAAAAGTGCACTAATTTCATACTTAAAATCAGGCGGTGAGTCAAGTGTACTTGACTATACTATTGTTTACTTTATTGTTTACTAAAGTATACTTTAGTAAACAATAAAGTATACTTAAACTTAAAAATGTCCCAATTTAGTTCAAAGTAGTATTACTTTAGTAATACTTCAAGTACACTAAAAGTACATTGTACGGTATACTTTCTAAACTTATACTTAATTTTTTTTTTATATCGAACTCACAACCTTAGGATTCAAAGCCCTATGCCCTAACCACTAGGCCGCCACTCCCCAATTAAGTGTTCTTAATAGGATTTACTTCAAGTTTACTACTTTTTGCTAAGGGACGTCATGCATGCATTCGATATTGACCCCTTTGAATCATCCCATCGATATTTATTTAAATTGATGGAAAGCGGTTATTTTTGCAAACATTTTCTGTAGTAATAAAAGTGGTGGGATTAAATAAGTTTTTATTTCCTTCCTTCTCCCCTTTAACCCTTTAAAGCCCGATCCAAGAAAAAAACAAAACAGAAAATTACGTTTTTTTGATTTGAAGTTCTTTTTTGGCCTTTTAACAAAATATGTAAAAAGAAAAAACAGAAATACATTTTTGATATTAATCATTTATTACTATGCGATAAGTCAAGATTATCTTTTATGTAGTCTTCTGCCCTCTGTTAACAGGTATATCTGATTGTGTACAATAGGAATTTGAGCAAAGTTTTTACCATTAAATTATGCAAAAGGTGTCAGACGCAAAACATTTCAGAAACTGTATGTATCAAATATGATATGTTTGGCATTAGATAACCTTGGGGGGTGCTTTGGTGGAGAAGTGGGTAGCAGACACGACCCATGTATGGAGGCCTTCATCCTCTACGACCCGGGTCAAATCTGGCCTGTGGTCCTTTCCCGCATGTGCCTTCCCCTCTCTTATATCCCCTTTCCTATAAGCCTACTGTTCATAAAAAAAACGAGCCACTAGTGCTGTAAAAACTAAAAAAAAAAAAAAAAAAATGCAATATAACTTTTTATGATAATTTGCATGTACTGCATATTTGTTTGCAGTGTTGTGGTCAAGACCACCTAACCCGAGACAAGACCAAGACTTTTAGGGTCCGAGACCAAGTCAAGACCAAGACCGAGGGAAGTCGAGACCGAGTCAAGACCAAGACCAGCGCCAGTATGTGACAATAAAATGTGAAACATGATCAAAATCACAAAAATTGATCTAAAAGACCTACATTCACGTAAAAACACCTAGATATTTAACACGCAGAACTGGACTAAACATTAACATCTTTATTTAGTACTTCTGTGTAGTAATCACAGAATTTCAAACAATTAATCAAAGTGGATCAAAATAGTATTTTCTCTGCCTTTCATGAACAGTACATACATTTATGTTGTTTTTAAATGTGCTATTTCAAAACAATGTGCAAAATTCTATAAATGTGTAAAACTGAAAAAAGCCAATCATTTCTCTTGTTTCTCTCTCATATACAGATTAAAGCTATATTATATAACTTTTCTTAAATAAATCTATATCTGTCACCAAGTTGTGAAATATGTTATGAGACAGATAATTTGTTGAAAAAATAGATTGATCTCCTTCACTGCATTTACCAAAAAGACAGGTTATTGCTTGGATTTGAATCCAAGCATCCAATAAAAATAAAATGCCGAGTCCTCAGCGCCCGAGACAAGACCGAGACCAAATGCGGTCAAGTCCGAGACGAGACCAAGACCATCAAAAAATGGTCTTGAGACCAAGACCGATCTCGAGTACTACAACACTGTTTGTTTGTACTCGATATTTTCCGCTGGAAATAAATGATGATTCATAGATGCTAACTTTACCTTTCAACCTCAGGATGCCTGTCCATCATCTCGAATGAGCTTTAGAACTACAGGATGAGACAAAGTGTTAGAAATATTCACTAACTAGCGTTTGTTTTTGTGGTACAAAACTTCTGATTTGCAATTCTGTCATTTGATCCCATCTAAATGTAACATATTTTAAGTATTTAGACTGAGGAAAGAGTAATTATATTTTTGCCGTGGTAGAATGTCTGAAATAAAGAAACTAGCTCATTCTTAGCAAGTTTTAACTGATAAATGGCTTTCTGCATAAGTTTAGTTATTTGGTGGATTCATGTGACCCATGTGGGTTTACTACCTGAGGTAGGTGGACCTTTTCTTTTGTCTAATTACCTAAAACATTTGTTTTTAAACAAAACATGGGATTTCATTAATCCTTTTGCTTTTTAATCCATTCAACAAATGTTCAATTTTCAGTGACATATATACTCTACAACAAAAGGATTTCCTTTCCTAAAATAAAATAGGTTTACTTTTTTGTCAGTTTTCTTGCATCAGTTTTGTTGTGCAGTCCTGAACACTACATTTTGTCAGAAAGGAGTTAGCAATACTAGTAATTAGTTATATTTCTCTTTCCTATACAACTTTTTACATTTTGCCAGTTATTTTTGTTTAAGGGGTCAGAATAAATTATTAATAAAGAGACTAAACTGATTTCTTCTTACCTTTATGTCAAAACTGGTTAGAGATTAAAGTTCTAGTATATAAAATAAGATTTTTTGTTATTTCTGGAAGCAAATTCAACAATGAAAGTCCCAATTTATTTTTTTCTGTGAAAATCGCCTTATTTGACCTCATGTTTGACCTCTTGTATTTCATTGGTTTTAGTGGCTCCATTTAAATTACTGGAATTAATTTATGACTAAACATTTGCATCTAATTTTCTTTAACACCATTATAGCTTACATTCAATCAGTTAATATTCCTTTTTCATTCTAATACAATTTCCCTCTTCATAGAAGACAGCAGACACAAGCATATTTTAATCACTCAAATGTAAATATTAATCAGATTACTGCCTTGCATTCAATTTTAACCTTTTTAAGTTAAATGTTATTTCACAATTTAAAAACGTAAACAGCGTTATAATTGATTATTTTCAGATTTCCCCTATTTTTCTCCTCATTTCAGTCGTTCTAAAAACAAAACATTACAAACCCAGTAGGTATCATCACACCGTTTAATTCCAACAGTTTGTATGAAAAAAATATTACAGGATCTATAAACATTACGATCACCACGGCTCTTCTGAGCTTAGTTAGACTTTGCTATGTTACATTAGACTCAAGACAAAATGCTAAAAAGTAGTCTGAAAGACAAAACCTTCCTCACAGCATTGTGCCTGAATTGAACAGTCTCCAAGCTAAATTTAATTTACACAAGAGCCCTAAAACACATTTGCATCCAACCCGATCGATCAAGGCAAAATGGTGCATGAACATACACGTGACTGATCATGTATCAGCTGGTATGCTGGCAGCTGACATGATGAAGATTTAGGTTTGATTAAGGGATGTGCATTACTGGGGATAGGCCTCAATCACCATGGCATGACCCTGAAAGATGCAAAAAAACAAAACAAATGGGACAAAAATTCTTACAATTAAATATTTTTTTTAAACCACTTCTTTTAAGGGAAATTAATAGTAAAAGTTACCTGTCCTCCTGCAGCACAGGCAGCCACCAGACCATACTGTCCACCCTCCTTCTTCAGCCGATGTGCCACGGTGGTTACCAACCTGCAGCCTGTGGCACCGAATGGATGGCCCAGAGACAGAGAGCCCCCCCACAGGTTGAACTTTTCCATAGGTGGAGTCCCAACCTGCACAAGTAAGTTGTTGCAGAAAAAAATCAATAGTAAATTGCAGAATTATTTAGACCTGGTAAACCTTTTCTCAGCTGCATTTCATTAACCTGACTCCGCCAGATGGATTTGCTCCGCATATCCATCTGGAAACCTTCCGTTGAAGTAATTTTGGGAAGGGGCGAAAATACTGGTTAGCTGATTGGCCTATGTTGGTGATAGACAGGCCAAATAAACCAATCAGATCAACGAAGCTTATGACGTACTAACAGAGCAACGACAAAGAGGAGCCAATTGATAGATCAAACTCTTGCCGAAACCAGTCGGGAGAGGAGCAAAAACATCTTTTCCTCTGAGAAAAGCCTCCAGAGCAGTGATTTGCTCTTCTTTCAGTGAAGAAATACTGTGTAATTCCGATAAAACTTGCTCGGTAGCCACGCTAACGCTAGTTTCATCGGCTGAAGCCGCCATGTTCTTTAGACTGAACTTTCGCGCTTCTCGTTGCGTCACACCTCAACCCGCCTCAAAGCCAACGTTGATTGGATGTTCGTTTGGTGAACAGCTCCAAATTTTCTTCAACGGAGAGTCTCCAGACTGATTAGCGAGTGAAATCTTGAAAGCTCGGAAGATCAGGATGTGCTCACGAGGCTAGCATTTCATGTGATTAAACAACAAAAAGAATATTTGGTGCAGTGGAAGAACACAAAAGTTGTCGCGTAGGACATTAAATTGTTTCTCACTAAAATACCCTGAAAACAGTGAAGTATTGGATGGAAAAAGGAATGTATTGGAAAAGCACATCAAAGTGCTAATTACAGACTACCCACCTAAACTTACATATTTCTCCTTACAAAAAATAGTTGAGCTAAGCTGCATGGATCTATTCAATCGACAACTGACCATGAATTCTCTTTACCTTTGATTTCCTGCCCATGTACGTCTGGGCAAACCAATCAGAATCCATCGCCTTCAGATTTGCCATTATCTGACCCTACAAAACCCAAACACACAAAAATGACAAGATTAAAACACAGACAGGTTGTTCACTAATCCTTTAGCTAGATGTATTTACCAGAGTTTTTGGGAACTTACAGCAAATGCTTCATGATACTCAAATACATCAATGTCAGACAATGACAAGCCAGCCCGTTCCAGGACTTTAGGTGTCGCATACGTTGGCCTGAAAAATAAAAAAAATTGTACTTTTTGTTATTACGGTTCACATAAACATTTAAAAGTCACCACATGCAGTTTGAGATAAAATATTTGTAAATCTTTTTATTTTTATTTTTTTTTTTAGGATAATGTTTAAAGTGAAAATGAAGACATTTACCCTAAAAGCAGTTGGTCTTTGGGGTCCTGGGACACATAGACAAAGTCTCTGCCAACATGAAAGTATAAAAGATGAAGACATCCGAATTGAATTAAGGGTGAAAAAAAAAACTTCCCCGATACACAATTGAAGTTCCAAATACCTCAGGTATGCTTTAGGCTTGAACCCCATGGCCAAAGCTTTCTCCTCAGACATGATGAGAACAGCAGAGGCACCATCGGTCTGAGAAAACACAGAGAAACACGTCATTTATTTACAGCCAAGGGATACTTAGGCTAAAGGACAGATGAGATGGAGATACAATGGAAAATGTAAAAATGTAATAATTTAGAGTCAATAAGCCTGTTTTTTTTTTTGTTTGTCCATGACAAAGATAAATTATTTCTATCCAGGAAGTATATCTGAAGCTAGTGTTTACCAGGAAAGACGAGTTGGCAGCAGTAACAGTGCCATGAGGCTTGACAAAGGCAGGCTTTAGTCTGGCCATTTGCTCCATGGATGACGGACGAATGCCATTGTCCTTGGATACAATATCCCGCCCTGGAAAGAAAAAAAAAAAAAGAACATGGTTAAAGCTGAAGCAAAGTTTTAAAAAAAAATACATTAATTCATACATTACAATGTCTCACCATTTGTTTTTAACCTGCTTGTTTGTAATGTTTTGCAGGCAGAATTTATGTCATTTTTAAAGGGTTCATTTATATATCTAAAGGGTTTGTTGCTATGGTAAACAGGCTGCTAAACATTTTCTACATTAAAATTCTTTTCATTTCCAGACTATGAAATTAATCTTTTATCTCACTCTTAATCATTCTGATCAGCTTGGATCAGGTCTACCTTAAACCATGCTGCGCTTTTTTAACAGTTCACATCTCGAATGAGTTGTCCATACCTCACCTTGATTGCAAAAACCATTTTCAGTTAGTAGAAATAATAAAAAGTTGAAAAAAGTTGAAGGTCTTTGCTTGATATTAAGGCTAAATCAAGTTTGAGAAAAATCGTCGCTGTTATCTAGTAAGGTTTAAAAGTTCAAAAACAGTGCAATCGTGTATTTTTATTTATTTTTGAGTAAGCATTTGGGAGTTTTATCAATCAGCAGTTTAGAAACCAAATGAATACATAACAAAAACTCCAGACGTGGAAATTCAAAGAGGAACAGCATTTAAACATAATTTAACATGAGAAACACTCAGAAGCATTTTAATTTTCTAGATAAATGAGAAAGAGATCGACTCTCCTAAAGTTTTGCATTAATTTAGAAACTATAAATGAATGCAATACTTTATTTTTTGTTTTCAAGACACAAACTGTTTATTAAGCAAATTATCAGGATTTGATTTAGACCAAGGTTTTTTCCTACGTTCTACTATTGTATAAATGAAATGCATAAACTAAAACAGAACTTTTTAAATGTAAAAATGGTTATTAAAAATATAAGAATCAATGAGTAGTTATTGTATTTCTAGATCCACTAACTGCCAAGTGTGCTATGAAGGATATAGGATTTACCTGGAACTTTAAAGGAAATCACGTCCTCTAGCAGCCCGTTATCCTGAGCTTTTTTGGCCAGTGAGTGCGACCGCAGAGCGAACTCATCCTGCTCCACCCTGGAGACCCCAAACGCAGCAGCCAGACGATCTGCACTGTGGCCCATAGTCTCCGCTGTTGAGAACTCAGCAACAGCAGGAAGCTGCTCACACACAACCAACACCATTCATACTGGGTCACAGAAAAACAAAACAAAAACAAACTTTGAGGTTTGAATCGATGGAACCACAAAGTAAATGCTCACCTCTGGGGACAGATGAGCTAGCCGGATGCTGCCGAGCAGACTTAGCCTTTGGCCGATGGTTTTTGCCTTGTTAAGGGACAGCATTGTCTTCCTCATCTTTCGGCTGTGACGAATTGGAACATCAGACATGAACTCAACCCCACCTGCTACAACAGCGTCACACTGGCCGGCAGCAATCAGTCCAACGGCTGGAGAGAAGAGAGGAGGAGATCAAAACGGGTAGCATTGGAAATGACCACCAGTTAGGAGAGGAAAAATGAATTACATTTCCTTTCTTCAATATTTCCACCTTGTCAAGAAAATAAGGAGCTTTGCGAGAAATAAATTGCAAGACGCTACATTTTTCTAGTAAATAATAAACATCACTCATGGTTAAATACCTGAGGTCATGGCTTGGTTGGAGGAGATGCAGGCCATTGTGACGGTGTGGGAAGGAATCTTGTCTGAGAAGCCGGCCCCCAATGCTGCCTGAAAAACAAGGAAAAACACTTTACCCTGATGGGTTATTCTTAGACTTTAGCACTAGACCAAACGGGTTCAGCAAGTACGTCTGATGTACCTCTCGAGCCACGTTGCTGGTTTTGACTTCCTGGATGACTGTCCCGTATATAAGGTAATCTACAGCATCCTTGGGTATTCCTGTTCGGTTCAGCAGACCCCTAAAAAAAAAACAGAGAAAGAGAAAATATGCTACTCACCGGGTCGTCAGCACTGTTCAATGACGTTCCAAAAAAAGTTTCGTAAAGAAAAAACGTTCCTGTAGTGTTTTATTTAGCATTTTGTAAATCCCATTGAGTTCTGTTGGAATAGTCAATATCCCTCCGCCACCGGAAACGGAAAGGGGGCCTGTTTACGCTTAGTTGTAGTCTTTTCGCAAGGCCCAAGTGTTTATGCTTCACTCTGTGTACTCCGACGTCGAGGTGCTAACGTCTCTGTTAAACACTTTAAAAAACTCTGAAAATGGAATACGAAAGGTGGATTCTTGAGGAGGACATATTGGACTTTGAGTTTGACGGTAGAGGATACCGTCGCCAACTAGTGGTCTGGAGTGTGCAACGCTTCAGATTCGAACGGGAAGCGGAAGTTTATAAGCGGTTGTGATGTATCGGAAAAAATAGTTCTGGGATTTACAAAATGCTAAATAAAACAAGACAGGAACGGTTTTTCTTCACGAAACTTTTTTTGGAACGTCACTGAACAGCGCTGACGACCCGGTGAGTAGCATATTTTAAAAAAAGAACGTTTAAGGTTGTTTTAAGGACATTATCGGACATGCACAATGGAAGCCATTCTGAAGCAGCCAGGGGGGGATTCTGCATGAGCCAAAAAGCAGAGACAGGACCAATCGTCAAAATTTTGGTGTCGATCATTCGATTTCATCCTGGACACTACAGAAAATGGGCTAAAAGTGTTAAAAACCGGAATTCTCCTTTAATGTTATTCTAACATTAAAGTCAGAATTCTGAGATTAAAGTCAGAATTCTAAGATTAAAGTCAGAGTTCTGAGATTAAAGTCAGAATTCTGAGATTAAAGTCAGAATTCTGAGATTAAAGTCAGAGTTCTGAGAAAAAAGTCTGAATTCTGAGATTAAAGTCAGAATTCTAAGATTAAAGTCAGAGTTCTGAGATTAAAGTCAGAATTCTAAGATTAAAGTCAGAGTTCTAAGATTAAAGTCAGAATTCTAACATTAAAGTCAGAATTCTAAGATTAAAGTCAGAGTTCTGAGAAAAAAGTCTGAATTCTGAGATTAAAGTCAGAATTCTAAGATTAAAGTCAGAATTCTAACATTAAAGTCAGAATTCTAAGATTAAAGTCAGAGTTCTGAGATTAAAGTCAGAATTTTAAGATTAAAGTCAGAGTTCTGAGAAAAAAGTCAGAATTCTGAGAAAAAAGTCTGAATTCTGAGATTAAAGTCTGAATTCTAAGAGTAAAGTCAGAGTTCTGAGAGAAAAGTCAGAATTCTGAGAAAAAAGTCAGAATTCTGACTTTTTCCCCATACTAAATTGAAGTATAATTTTAAAATCAGTAAACTTTTTTTTTTTTTCCAGTGGCCCTAATCCTCTTCCGTAATGAGGGATAATGGGACTATAAGGGCTTTTTTTTTGTCTCCATATTTGCTTAGTTTGAGAGGGAATATTTTTTCCTTTCCAACCAGAGGATTATAAATCAGGTCCAGAAAATAAAGAGCCTGTAGAGAGATAAATTCAGTCCGTCTGTATTTCCAGCTCCACAACACAGTAATCACCCGATTAAGCAAACAGGACAAACTTGACCTCCTCCACTTCTGGTCTCAACCAATAAATAGATAAGTGGGTTATAAACACTGGTAGTGGAAACACCTCAGCTTTCACCTTTCTGTCATAACCACAGTTTTTTGCCTCGCTGTATGAAGTCTTACAGTCTTGTTATTGCATAATGTCACACCGTCTGTTTTCCAAAATTCCTTTCATTAATTGAAATACGGCCAACAATCATATCTCCATTTTAGAGTATATCAAATGTATTTATTTTCATTTATTTCATGTATGATTTGTAGGTTGCGGAAGTTCATAATACTTTACATTTTCCTGCTCAGGGAATAAAAATGACATCACACAGAGGTCAACTTATTATGGCCACTGGTTACAACGATGGACAAGGTTCAGGAGTTATCTTCACGTCACACAGAGATAGAAGCATTACTGAGGAAGTAAAAAAAGAAAAAAGAAAAAAAGTTTCCAAAACTAAAAGCTAAGGAACAAAGAGCAGGACCCAAGCCATACACTGCAAACATAAAAATGTAGAGTTTGTTAAACTCTTAGGTTCCGGGTTCCATTCTTGGCTCGGGATCTTTCTGCATGGAATTTGCATGTTCTCCCTTTGCATGTGTGGGTTCTCTCCGGGTACACCGGCTTCCTCCCACCCTATGCCCGCTGTAAGGTTTAGTGAAGGATTAATGATCTTATGTGGGAGTTATTTCCAAAGGACCTCATAAATATTTATAGATGGCCTGCATCTCCTCTTGACTCTTTCATTTGCATATTCAAATGTGAAGACCTCCGTCTGATTCTTTTTTTTGTTGTTTAACTGAATCTTGGTTCAAAAACAGGATGAATCAATTCAGAAAAGGTTATCCAGAGATCTCATAAAAAAACACAGATATCTCATTCCCTTTACCTTAACTGTAAAGAAAATCTTTGGGAGAACAACAGAAAAAAGGAGCAAAAGAGCCAACCAAGTCAGCAAAGATCCTTCATTTTTCAAAAGAATAAAATGTTATTGAAGACTGTGTGCTGTCAGAGCTGTTCTATGAACAAAAAAGGGTTGTACAATAATTTCTTTCAAAAGCAGACTTCCAAGAATTGCACCACCAGTAACATTGTTAAAGGAGTAATCACCTAAAAATCTTACTTTTTCATATTAAAACGTGTGTTGCGTATAACCTTCTATTACCCCATTTACACTACCCTTTAAAAAACCGTGCCGAGACCGGACCGGTTTCGAGCTCAGTAACTGAGATAACTTATTGTGTGTAAATGGAAAGCAAACTGAACTGAACCGAGCTAGACACAACCGGACCACGCTAACTGCAGACCATTTCCAGTCGTGGGCTCAGCTTTTCACTGGCTCGGTTCTCTGATAACAAGAGCGCACAAGCAGAACGCGTCATCTCCGCCTGGCTACACATCCCAATTTACACTCCATTCCAGTAGTTGGCGGTAATGCCCCTCCGGAAGTTGCTTGCCAACCAACACAAAACAGAAGAAGAACAACTATAACTATACATTTACTTTAAAGTAAATCCACGAAAGGTTGCCGTCTTCGTCTGACCCTCCGCAAACACCGAAGTACAGCAATAATAATAAAGCATAACTTTCTGAATGTAACGGGCGCCGCCATTTCGATTTGCTTGATTCCGTCCTTCTTCGTCTTCTTCTTCTTGTGTTTTATGGTGGTTGGCAAACAACTTTTGGTCCATTACCGACTCCAACTGCTTGATTTTCTCCTTCAATACTGGCAGTAACACTGCAGATCGTCAACAGGAGGCAAGGAACCTAGATAACATGATGTGTAAACGATCGTCAGAACCAAGCTCGGCCCTGTTAACTGATCCGAGCTCGGACCGGTCTCGGCATGGATCGGTTTTTCAAGGGTAGTGTAAATGGGGTGTATGACTCTGTGGTGGAATCAGCTCTCCTCTACACTGATGTCTGCTGGGCCCCTGGCAGCACAGGGCAGGAAAGAGAGAAACTGAAGAAATTAGTGAGAAAGGGCGTTTCCGTCCTAGGCTGCGCTCTGGACTCATTGAAAGAAGTGGCTGACAGGACGGTGCTGTCCAAGCCTACATCCATCATGGACAACACCTTCCACCCTCTGCAACAGACTGTAGAGGGTGGAAGACCATGTTTGTAAAAAAGGTGCGCTACCGCAGGTCATTCATCCCTGCTGCCACCAGACTGTACAATGCGACAATACACCGGCAATAACTTGTGGAATGTATAATGTGTCATGATTATTTAAATAACCTGTGCAATACCTGTTTCTGTATATTTGACAGCTAGTGCAATAACTATATATATATTAGGGCTGCAACAACGAATCGATAAAACCGACTTTTAAAAGCGTTGGCAACGAATTTAATCATCGATTAGTTGTGTCGCGCGATTAATGCGTCATCCGCCGCTGCCATCATCCCGGGGAAGAAAAAAAAATATCGCAGAGCGAGTCAGCGCCGCAGTTGCACTGTTGCCAACTCAGCGACTTTTCAGACCCCTCCAGCGACTATTTTTTTAAAAAGCGACTAGCGACAAATCTGGCGACTTTTTACAGTGTCACTGGCGGCTTTTGGAGACCCTTACGTGAAAGCATGCATCGTTCCTACTCTTGTCCTCCAGCGGCAGCTGCTGCCGTGGGGCGCCTCCCCCATCCCAACCCCTTTCTCCCTCTCTCACAGGAATCCCTCTCAGCGCTGCAGTCAGAGCCGCAGGATTTTAGTGAGGAGTTTACCCTCAGCGTCCAGACTGCAAATGAAGCGCGCATGCCCCGGGATTGACGGCGCAAATTGATCACAATAATTAAAATAGCCTGCGCTTTGTAAAGTGAAAAAAGTCGTAACATGCAACTTTTGTAAAAACAAATGGACATGGCACGGAAGCACCACTGTTATGACGCAGCACCTGAAAAGAAAACACGTTGGAGCCTTCAATGGCAGTGAAGAGAGCTGATCAGCAGGGTGAGCGACCATGCTTGTTTCGTTTTAAAGTGGGGAAACGTAAGTTAGTTTCTCAGGTAGCTCATCTGATGCTTTCCTTAGCTTGTTAGTAGGTTACAGACGGTGATAAGGTTGGCTTCTTATTTTACTTTTAATTTCATTTGAATTAGCTTAAGCAGCGTTTATATTTTCTTTATAAATAAATTAATTTGCAAATTATGAAGGCAAGGCTTTTAAAGTTTAAATCTTCTGGCAAAGATAAAGTAAAGAAGATCCTGCAATTTATGGAAGTAAAGCAGAATAAAATCCAGCAAGATCAGTAATATGTCAATTAATTATATGCCACATTCCCATGTAAATTGGAATTCTTTGGAGGATGTGTTCTTTAGCACCCCTAGTTCTCTCATTTTTATTCCAAATACAATTTATAATTTGAATCACAGGGCTATTTTTATCTCTATGGTTAAGTATTTTCTGAAGTAGCAACTTTAACTGCTGTACTTTCCTGTCTTAAAAGGCAGAACTCTTCTAGTCTAAAAAAATCTCATTTGTTGAAATGGGGGGACCTATTGTTTGAACCCCTTAGGGGCTTTAAAAAACAAAAATGCCTGTCTCTTTTTGCGCTTTATGAAACTAAGTACCCTATATTTTGTGGATGTACAGCTACATTTCTCATGTAAGTTTGCGTAGTTTTAACACAAACATTTATTTTTCATATTGCACCAGTACAGTTAATGAGAAACCTGTACTTGTGTGCTTGTTTGTTCTGTCTAAAATGTTTATTTTGGAATAAAGAGGTTAATATAAAAAATATTTTTTGTCCGATTCATCGATTAATCGAAAAAATAATCGGCCGATTCATCGATTTTCAAAATAATCGTTAGTTGCAGCCCTTATATATATATATAAATACCCTTTCTATATAAATCTCCTTTGGCACCTGCTTCTTCTCTTTTGTCTATCTGAGCTGATATAACAAGTACACAGTATGATGGTTAATTAAATGTTGAATTTGTCCTGTTTAGCATGTTAACTTTCTGAAATGGCTTCATATATATTAATAAATCAGCAAAGGATAAGTATTTTTTTAACTTTGTGACAAAATCGATCTGAGGTTAAAGCAACACAGGGGCGCTGGACCTCTAATTTTCAGGTTTAGCCCCCTTAAAAGCCATTGGGCCAAATTAAACAGTCTTCCTCCAACAGCAGGTAACTGGACCCATAGATTGAAAAGTCATGGAGTAACTTGTAAAAGACAAGGCACGTTCACTGCTCCAGATTAAATCCTACATAAGAACCAACAATATTCCTGATCAGGTAAGGGTTAAATCGGTTTTGTAGGCTAACAACAACTTTTAGCTTAGTTAGCTTTCACGTTCAAGTGGAGCTCAGATAGCTGTAAAGAGGCGCTCTGGGTCACAACTTATTTAGTAATGGATCGATCATCAGAAGAAACAAGGCCCTCAAATGCATTATGCTGTATATTAATATAAAAAATCTATTTTATCCATCTCAAATTAAGCTAATCAGTGTTGTGTTGCTTTAAATTACATAGAATGCTACATAAACTGTTTTTTCTAAGTTGCATTTTGTATTAAAGTCAACTCGAGCACAAACTTACTGAAGAGCTGCTCTGGCCAGGTCATGGGGCATCAGATCTGCATACCTGTC